TTCCAGATGTGTCAGGTGAAGAGAGATGAAGCAGGTCAGAGGAAGTGTAGCTTGAAAACTGTGATGGTGTGCTGTGATAGGCAGCACCAAGGACTGGAAAGAATTTGACTTCAAATCTCTAATGTTTTGGGAATAAAAAAATTTTCCTTGTATCATCAATAGATCAGGAATTTCAGTTCAAATCCATTGTAATCATCACTATTCAACAGCAGTTAAAATAATATAAAGATTCTGGGTTCTAGGGTCATACTTAGTTATTAACAGATTAGGAAATGTGAATTTGAGTTTCCAAATTCTACTTTCTTAGAAAATGAGCTATTTCTTTTAACACAGGTACAGCTTCTTCTTTTCTTTCTCTTTTGGTACTGGGGATTGAAACAGGTGGGTGCTTTCCCACTGAGCTGCATCCTCCGCCCTTTTTATTTTTTATTTTGAGAGAAGGTCTTGCTAAGTTGTTTTGGGCCTTGCTAATTGCTGAGTCTGTCCTTGAACTTATGTTACTCATGCCTGAACCTCCCAAGTCACTGGGATTATAGGTGGGCTCCACTGCACCAGGCTGCTTCTTTCCATTTTTTTAAATTAAAAATTAATAAGATAAATGCTTTAGAAGGCAAATCACTCTTACCTTACTCCCAAGTTGCTAATTCAGTATGATAATGACCACCCAAGAAAGATGGCTGTGGAAAACCAAATGAGAGAACCAGTTCATTCATAGAGAAAAAGAGTTTCAGGGAAGCATGCAGGTATAGGGGTCAGACTTATAGGCTCTGGAGTTTTATTTTTTCAGTTGATCTTTGTTCACTAATTATAGGGAAACTATTTAGTCTTTCTGGGTATTTCAGTTTTCTTCTCTGTAAATGACAAGTAGCTACCTCTTGATTTTCATAAGATTGTGAGATCAAGTTTAAGCAGAGTTCAGTGCCTGGGGTATAGGAAGTGCTACAAAAATGCTAGTTTTTAAGTTTTTAAAACAAGCTCGGAGGTTGTTATTAAAAGTGAATTGGCAGATGAAGTTGCATAACACCATTTCTACAACTTAGATCGAGCAAGAAAGATGGACAAAATAAGAAAAGTTGAAGACATAAGGTGGTTAACAAAGAGCAAGGACTCAAAATGTCAAGAGCATTGAGAAGAGAAGGGAAACTAACTACAGAAGCAAAACAAACATCACCCATCAAAGGCATTTTCCCAGTAATAAGGAAGACTTAGAGACCAAGAAGGTAACTGGAACTTCAGCCTGCCTTCAGGATCTGAGGAAAGATTAGGCATTCAAGGCCATTCAGGTGAAAGCTCCATCAATACTCAGGCCTTTGGTAGAAATCCCTAAAGGACTACACTCTAAGAGTGAGGGCTAATCAGAAGTGTACTATCTTCACAAGGACAGATGCTCAACATGGCGTGAGCTTAGCCCTTCACTGATAAAATTAATCTGTCCTATCCTAACTGGAAACAAACAAGCAAAACAGTAAATCCTTTCTAGAGAAAGAAAATAGTATCTGCAACTTCAAGAGCATCTCTCTAGCATCTTGTAAATGATGTCCAAAAATACTTAGCACACAAAGAGATCAATGAATGAAAGTGCAGAGGGGGAAAAATAAGAAAATGGATAATAGAAACAGATTCACAGGAAATCCAGATATTAATCAGTCACAAACTTTAAGAGAACTGTTATTAATATATTCAAGGAAATAGAGGACAACATTTTCGATTTCATCAGGTGATTAAATCCACAATTTAATTGGTAAAAGACACAAATGGATATAATAAAATTGAAAGAAAGGGTAAAATACAGTGAAAAGTTGGTAAATTTGAAAGAAATGAAAATGTTAAGGTATCTTTCTTTCTGATGAAGACTTTAGACTTCATCCTAAGTAATTATATCTTTAAAAATTAACTAAAATAAATGGCTGTCTTACAATAAGGGTCTATAACTTAAGATAGGATTTCAAATATTTGGTTGAATAAAATAAAGCTATAATCTGGAAGAAATGACTTAATTATTTAAAGGAGTTCATGCTTACATTACACCTCTCACCGTAGGTTCACAGAGGACAGTTGGATGTTGGTGAAGGAACACAGTGGTGGCACCTCCCTATCTCAATCCCATCACAAGTCAGATGATATCAGGAGTAAAAAATGCCTTTTCTAATTCCTTGATCACTCTTTAGTCTGCACTGTGAAAAACAATCATGTTGGGAAAATAACTACATTAGGAGCATGGCCCAATTGGAGGTCATTTGGTTACTGTGGGGCTGGCAAGCTGAGAGTTACTAAACGAAAAATAATTAAATGCTGGATGAAATCATCTGAGAGCAGTGAAAGACAAATTTGTTTTAATAAATTTATCTCATAAATTGCAAATTTTAATCTACAGTTTAACCAAATCCTGTATTTTTTGTGTTTTGTGTAATAATTTTTCTTCTCACACAAAAGATAATACCATCGAACAAAGCTGACATTGGCTTGCAAGGAGCAATTTATTATAAAAGGAATCACACTTACTTTGCTCTCTCTAATTTCAGTTCTGTAATTTTAGCCTGGACAGGAACACAAAATATTACTTCTTATATTATGTTCCTTCAATTTGGTCCGCTTGAGAAATTAAGTAGGAATACCTCTACTGAGTATACTTGTATTTGTGGAATATGATGGGGTCTAGTCAAAAGACTATTAAACAGAAAACATTGAGAAATACCTATTAGAAAACAAAAACAAGGCTCTGATTTGTGAGTTGATACACATAATCTCCTTGGGAGAGAACAAAGGTTGAGATGCCTTGGGATCACTGAATTAAGGCTTTTCCTCCTGGGTTTGACCTTAACTTGTTCTGTGACCTCAAACATGTCATTTAATGGCTCTGCCTCAGCTTGCTTAGCTATAAAATAATCATGTGTAACCTAATTCCATATTAAGCCACAAACATTTGTTGAACACCCTGTATGTGCTGGTGCTTTTAGAACACATTAAGAACACTAAGACTATAAGGATTGTGGATCAAACAGACACTGTAATCTATGTGTAAGCACTTTGTAAAGGATAATAAATCACACAAAGTATTATGTAATGCTAACATATGATTCTAAACATTTTTCTAAAAGTTTTAGGAACATCTGGCTCTCACCACAAATGCAAAGAAACTGTGACCTTGACAAAGATGACAAATAAAAATTCAGCTAAATAAAATGTATTGTTAAATTATTGGGGGGGAAAAGCAGAAAAGGGAAGAAGAAACTGCTTTTTGATCAGGGCTGAGGACAGGATAACAAGGCAAATAATAAAATAAAAATGATTTCTTTGAACTTTGAGTACAGAGGGTAAATAATTAACCGGACAGCAGTCTGGAAACACCAAAACAACATTAAGCTGCCTATCAGCTTAAGATTCTCTGTGACCAAACAGGAAAACCATAATGGAAAATTTTTCTTTGATTAAAGTGAAGAAAAAACAGTTTTTACAATGGCCCCAGAACAAAGGAAGAATAGAATCAACACACTCAGCAATGTGAGACCATCGGAGAGCAGCATAAATAAAAATGACAATAAAAACTAGAAAGAGAGAGACCACAATGAGAACACAAACCTGTGTTTTGACCAAGTCAGCAGTTGGTCAGATCTAAGACTTTAGACTTAGTGACCCTGATCTTTCCAGAAACTTTACCATTGTTGGTTACAACTATTGAAAACCAACATTCCTAAAGGTCACTCTGCCATCGCAGCAATATAGTAGATTAAAAGGAAAACTAGAAATGAGTGAGTCCTTTTGAGATTTCTCTCAACTTCTAGAGAATATGATACAAAAATATGGTAGGCTATAATATCAAAACAGCTCTGAGTGAAGAAGTATACAATAGGATACATCCTATATTATATTTTATTTACACTATTTCTCCCAGTGAATTAAAAATAAAAAAAAGTTTCACATGGGAAATCTCTTCAAACGAAGAGAAGCATCTGATACGGTCAGTAGACTTTTAGAAGTTGACCTATTTAGTAGAAATTGAACTATCTTTACTTTATGGAATAGATGACTTCAGAAGATTAAACCAAAACAGATAGTTTCTTGAGTATCAACATTCTTTTTTTATAATTAGGGATTTATTTCCTAAGAAAACTATGACTTCTCAACTGAAAAGAAGCTATGGCATCTGTATTATTATAAATATCCATTAATCTATGGGTTAATAACACCCACTATTAATTTACATTGTCAGGATCTGTCTCCTAACTACTGACTGCCTAAAACATTACATCTGTAGTTCTTGGAACTTTTTTTCCTATATTCTTTGTATAGTAGACCTTAATTACACTGGCAAAAGAATTTGAAATCAAACACACTTTTATTCTAGACTAAACATTTTTAAACTTGTTACAATTTAGTAAATTTTCATTTCTTTAGTTTTTTCCATTTTTTTTTTAAATGAATCAAGCCATAGGTTTAAGTTCCTCCTTTGTTTTTTTCCTGTTACTGAGGCTTCTAATTAATCATTCCTATCAGATTTCAATAAACATTAAAGGGATTGTAGGCACAGTTGTCCTGGAACTCTCAGTATTGGGTCACTGAGCTACGCATGTGTTCATGTTTACTTGTGCTTTAGGCATCAGAACAAAAAAAAAGTCACAGAAATTGACAAAGCAATTAAAAAAACAATAAAACTAAACTTTCAGGTATAGATGAGAAATATTTGAAAATTAGAATTTTTTTCTTAGAAATGTTTCACTATAATAACACTACAGTTATTTAATAATTGTATAAAATATGTGGGTCATAATGCCAATGACTTCAGAATACAAACTAAAACAATATCCCCAAAATGGACAATCATGACTACCCAGAAGATTAAAACACAAAACAAAATGTTTCTCTATTAAGCAAATGAAACCCATAGGTAAGAAAATTATTTGAAGTTCATGGCTGAAATATCCTGTACTTGACACTTGAAGAAAAAGGGTCATAGTCAAGGTCAAGGAGCAGGTAGAATATCAGTACATTACATCACTTACTTCTTTATATCCGAAGATGATGCGCCCATCCATGAGGAGAGTTGCCTGGAATGTGAAGCTTCCCAGGTTGTAATTATCCTGGAGATGAACGTGGTCCCACTGGACAACGAGGGCTGTGCCTACCGACCCCAGGCAACAGGCAGAAAGGCAATGAGAACAATACACGAATTAATTCTGGTGGGAACACTCAAACATTGATCTAGCCTTTAAATCCTGTGGTTGTGCCATTTCAGTTTTATGTGGTTAATTGGAATTTTGTTACTGAGATGGCATTGGAAGATTCTCTAAATATTTGGTGAAAAATCTAACCTCATACTGAGGTTTATATTGAGCCAACCCAGTGTGGGGGAATTTTGCCTTAGGAATTTCATTAATGTTAATGTGTACTATTTGCTTAAATTTCCATGAGACACTTTCAAAACCCAGCTCAAATTGATCAAATGAACTTCAAATACTTTTGACAAATGATGAGAAAGAAACACATTAAAAACATTCTTGACTTACTTATAAAAGACCTGAAAATGTCTTTTCCATTCTTAGAAATATACTCTTCCACACTGAAGAAGCCCCTTTACCACCAATGGGAATTTTCTTTGATTCAAAATGCCTTGCATTTTTGTCTTTGTTGGATTGCCTCCAGAGGCTGAAAGTTAGCTTAAAGGGACCTGGGCTAAGATTTCTGAAGCCCCCTTGCAGTACCCTGGGATGAAACTTCAGTGCTATATATTATATTCTGATGACTCAATCTGCCAGACTTCACTATGAAACTATTAACATGAAGTGTTATGTTGAAATGGATTAATAATTACCAGTCAGAATTCATATTTTGTTTTGACAGACACTGTATATTATCTATTGTTTTTTAAAGCAAACAAACAGAACAGCTAAGACTTGCTTAACTCTACATGCTAGATTTTCTCTTCTGTTAACAAAACAATCTTGTTTCCAAAAAATGTTGCATTACAAAGGAAAATCATAGCACTAAAAAAGTAAAACATATCCCCTGGCAGAACATATCTGATTTTTTTCCCTTCTGTTGTGTGGCAGAACTAATTTCCAGCAACCATTTTGTGCTGATAGTAATTTCTCTGAACTAATTGACAACTTTAAATACAAGTGTTAAAATATTTTGAATACCCAACTGGAAATCTCTAAAAAAATGTTTAAGTATAAAAATGCGTTTCTTCAGAGGCAAAACTTTATAAGTGGGGGATAAATGTTTTTGAACTGGACCTTGGTGCTTTTAGCCACAGGAAACATCCAACATATATCATTGTAATGGATGAACACTCAGGTCTTTTCCCTCCATGGGCACCTATAGAACTATACTATCATTTTTGGAAAAATTGGAAAAAGCTAGAAGATAATGCCAGTCAGGAAACATCCCATAATTTTATAAGTACAAGGGTTTCTGATCATGAAATGCCTTTCTTTTCTTTTGTTTTCCTCATATATCTCTGACCCTCAAGTTCTGGTCCTTCCTTATTTTCTAATTTCTATCACATCCTGGTAGTGCAGAGAAGAAGTAGAGAGCAGAAGATCTCGTTTCCTGTCCTGCCTCCACAGATCCTTCTGTGTAAGCGTGGACACAATTAACCTGCATAAACCTGTTGCCTCTTTTATAACATGAAAAGTATATAATTCTTGCCTTCAAGGAATTTCTGAATTTAATATAAGTAAAGATAGTGACCTTAACTTCTTTGTGAAAATGAGAGGTTAACATAAATAAACTAAATATCAGATCTGCTAGATCTCATTCTCTGCTAGATTTCAATAATGCTATTCCTAATATATTGTTAGTAGCAAGTTTCAAAAAATAACACTATTTGCAAATGTTGTTTTATATTATGTTACCACATGACTTCTCCAACAGTTGTGGATTTCAGTATATATAATACCAATGGAAAGATGACTGAGTATAAATGTTTTCATTAAATTTTAAAATAAGCAAAACATCTCTGTTCTGAGTTTATTTAAAATATTGCTTTCCATGCAATGCATTAGATAAGTGGACAGGAAAAACCTTTCCTTGGACAATTACGATGTAGCAGAATATACAGCCTAAAGAAATCCATGAACTAAAGAACTGAATTCACATTTCCAAAGAGCTGGGTGATCCACCTCCTGACACAGCCAATCTGAGCTGCTTCTCTGAAGTTATCTAAGCACCTAGATCACATGAGTGGCTAACCCATCTTAAATGCTTCCTGAAGCTGGACTTCCCTAACCATAATCAAATTACCTGATCAGTAATGGATGCCAACTTTGTTATCTCCCAAATAAAAACCAAAGTAGAATGAACTAATGTTATTTAAAGTCACTATCAACTTGAAATTTTCAGATTCTCTGCTAGATCAGGCTTTTTATCACTGGTAAGAATTATACTGTTATTGTTTGCTACCCATGAGTCATCAGATTATTTTTCTAATAAAAAGGATTACTTTTAATAGCTTTCTCCTTTTGTGCATTAATATTCTGTGACTCAGACAGCCATTATCATTCAGGCTGGCTGTAACAACTGGAAGCATCAACTCATAATTTTTTAAATCTAGTGCTTTTAATATTACAGAAATATCCTCTAAGAAGAAATTTTCTAATCTGCTGCTGTCTCCTCTAGAGATGCTTTGCTTGGCTAAATGCTGAGTTTCCCATCGTCAAACATTCTATCAATGATCCTAACCAATGGATGTTGAGAACATTTCATCAAGTTGCTATGTAAAATTCAAGGCTTTGTGAAAAGCATTTCAATATTTAAAAGTGTTTCACTCACTAAAATAAAAACAGCAATTTTCAGCTTTAAATATAATACTGTAGAAACTCAATATTTCTACTAGATGCTACACAGAAAATTATTTCAACAGGTAAAAGTATATTAATTCTTGAGTTATACTTTTATAACTCTTAGAAAGTAAAAACTCATCTTACATGTTTAATTTTTCATTTATTCATTCATTGAATATTCATTGTGACTAAGTGCCTATGAAGTCCTAACTCCAGGTCCTAGAAAAAAAATTTCTTAAGAATACTCAGTCTTTGTTTTCAAGGAATTTAGGGTTCAGTTGGAGTGGTATACATTAAATTTTAAAAGTTATTTAAATGAAAGTAAAATTGAAATATTAAGAGCATCATAGGGACTGAGTATATGAGAGAATATATAAGGGAGGAAGTTATTTAATATGACTATGATTTTGATGCTAATAATATACAAACTTAGTCAATAAAAACTTGTGCTCATGAATGAATGTCCTTAACATAACCTAGTAAGTGGTGGGGCTTAGCTAATAATGAACTATTATCAAGTCATTTCTTATTTACTTGTAATGGATGCCTAATATGATTCTGTGTGAAATCATGAAATGAGCTTCAGATAAAGTTTTGGGCTATAATTATGCCTCAAGTATACTTAAAATCTACTCAAACATCCTCAGGCATTAGAAACTCAAGAATTAAAACAACAACAACAACAACAACAACAACAAAACAAGGTAGAAGGGTTGATAGAATGTATCAGTTCTGAAAAAATAGGGAGAAATAATTATTATGGCTAATATATATATATATATATATATATATATATATATATATATATATATATATATAGTCATTTAATGTTGAATAGATTTTGCTGTCATTCAGATTGTTCTGTGGTTTTCCCAAGGTTTCCATCTAAGTAAGGTTAGTTTTTTTTTTCCTTTTTCTTTTTCTTTTGCTATTTTAACCTCTGATATGGCTCCACCTCACTCATTGTGATTTTTTTTTTTTCAAAATGATCTTCTTTCCCTAAGGCTACTGTCACCATCTAATCTATATCACCCACTAGTAATTTCTTCCTTGAACACCAGAAATAAGACAAAAGTAGAAATAAATCTGTTTACCCTAAAGGAGTCTACTATTTTCAGTGATGAAACTGTCATTTGACCAAATATATACTATTTTTGTATTCTAAAGAGTACAGAAATTTTTCTTTATTTTTTTCTAGTGCAAAAATCTTCTTTGCCTATAATTTTTTTTCTCTGCCAAGGAAATGTATAGCTAAAAATTTATTTATGCCTCCAAGATCTTGAATTTGTTATTTAGTAGCATTTAATGGCACATTATACATTTTCTCTACCTCGTATGTTCCCAAAAGAAATACAGGGATAGAACAAAGTCAAGACACTTGGTCAGTCTTAACAAGATCTATTTCATATTTTAAAATCAGGAAATTTTTATTTCTTAAGTATACTTTAAATAGCTACTACCTTACTTATTAAAAAGGTATGCTCATCTTATAGATACATAGAATTCATAAATTTAGGGAATTTAATATCCATATGACACCTCTACTTGAAGATCAGAATCAGCAGAGTTATACTTACTTGCATTTTTTTAAATAGGAAGGACTTATTAAAAATAGTAGCAAATAAATGCATCTGCTTTGTCTGAGGTACTGTCTATAGGAACTCATTTATTATAGTGAATAACAGAAGCCAATAAACATTGTTGAATGAGCAATTGAAGGAATAAATGAATGAATGTCTTTTGACCATGTACTTTACATCACATCTTTAATGTTAACAGTACAACATTTATTGTTTCAGGACATTTGCATCAAGTGACTTACAAATATGATCAATCAAAACAACAAGAACAAAAATGAAAAAGCCCCACAAAAATATTAACATTATTCGTAGCTTGATGTTTAAAAATATATATTCAACAAAAAGCAGGCTATGCGATACATACCATTATCAAAATATCTAACTGTTGAATTTCTGGAAACACTGGGATCAAAATTTGCCATTAAAGGTGCTATGTACTGTGTGGCTGTTAGCATCCGATGCACAACTTCTCCAGTGTATATGAAACCTATGATTAGAAAAATAGAAAATATGTTATTAGAATGCCTCCAACACAATTGTAATCCTATTTTGGAAATAAAATATAGTAGCTATATGAAAAAGGAACACAATATCTATAATGTCTGATTGGCAACAGTTGGTCTGGATAAAGTAACAATTCTCATATGGTTTGGAAGTAACTTGCAGACCATTAAATCATAATTCTGTGATAGGTGCAATTTTAATTGTGAGGAAAGTGCCTATGGTCCCAAGAGATTATTTGGCTGAGATATGCTATTATACTACTATAAGTAATTCAAATATTTAATTTTTTATTCTTAGTCCCTTCATATTTTAACACTGGCCTAACGTACAAGTCCTTTGTAGAAGTGAATTTGTTTTCAAAATAGCTTTTTGGTTTCTCTTAAGCTATAATCTCAGTGTAGGAAGTTTAAGAAATCACATTTCTTGATAAAATGCAGAAATGTTTTTTGTCTGTTTTTTTTTGAAAGTGTCTAAATACCCATGACAAAGCTTTCAAATTTCTCAAATTACTCAAGCCTTTATAATACTATCACCACATCAAGAAGATAAGATCTATGTTTGCAGATAAGATGGTCAATTATTGAGGATGTACAAATGCCTCTTCATTTAGACAGTTATCAGTGTCAGCCTATTTTAGCAGTTGGAGAATGAGAGGGAATTTACTATGGAGGACTTAGCTTTGAATTAACTTTCAATAGCTACTGTGTTACAACTCTAACCCACTTTCAATTATTCACACTACATTTATTTACTTTGTGGATTATCCATGACAAATTGGTAATCCTATACTGGCTTCTTGCCTCCAGGGTCTGTGGCTGCCTGAATGAAGAGTCCATTCAGGGAATGCTAACTGATTTTAATATGAACTTAAGGAACACACATTGAGAATAAACATGCAAATGGGAATGCATACACAATTTTAAAAAATAAAATGTGAAGCAAATTATTTTTGACAATTCAATTGTAATGTTTTAGCAATTATGAATTAATTAGATATGTCTCTTATAGATCATTTTTCAGTTTTCACAAGAATTAATAAAACACACAAGATATTAAAAAACTCTTACAAAACTGTGTAGTATTGAAGCCTCACAAAATGCTAAACTTTGCTATCTTACTTTATGCCAGGAATGAAGATTTCATTGGAATATTGTGCTCTTTTTGGTTTTAAATTCTTGGGCTGTATTTGTGGCTCAGTGGTAGAGCACATGCCCAGCGTATGTAAGGCACTGGGTCTGATACTCAGCACCACAAAAATAAATAAATAAATAAATAAAGTTATTATGTCCATCTACTTTTTAAAAATATGTTTAAATAATTCTAACATGTAATTTCTAGATAAGTCCTTCTAGAATCAAATCTAGTTATTTATAGACTTGAGCATTTTTTGTTAAAAACAAATATATTTTACTAATAGCAATTTATGATATTATAATCATTGCATTTATTATATTTCCTTCTAGAATTTCATTCATACCCTGAATGTTCAAAGTCCAACATCACATCCTTAAAATTATGAACATGAAGAGCAAATATTTATCAGGGCAAATGATTTATTTTTCCTATCTTTACCATTAAACATTTATAATTTCATGATTGAAATGGATATAGAAAGCCTACAGGTATAATCTTTAAGGAATATGTTGAATTAGATTCCGAAAGTTCGTTCAGAGAGAATAGCTCCAGGTATTATTTTCCTGCTCTATATTTTCTATATGCTTAGTACAAAGGACAACAATTCAAGGCTGGAAAATAATTTTCAATTGGTATAAAATCTAATCACCGAAACAACTATTTAAGAAAAGCTTTGGTAATTCCTAGAATTAAAGAATTGCAAAATGTAGCACCACCAATGAATTCAAAAGCTTAATTCTTTTTTTTTCTCTTTCATTAAAAAGAAATTTATTGCCACATAATATCTGTATGTATCAATGAAGTACAATGTGATGTTGTGGTTCATGTATATATTGGGTAATGCTCACCTCTGTAATTAGCATATTTATCACCTTAAACTTTTATCATTTCTTTGTACTGCATACATTCAAAATCTCCTATTTTTAGATAGACAAGGCATTATTGTTAATTTTATGCACCATACTGGGCCTTAGTACTCCAGAATTCATTTTTACCATTTTAACTGTAGCATTAGACATGTTGACTAATCTCTACCTCTTCCTCCTTCTCCTGCTTTTCTCAGTCTCCGATAACCACTATTCTGCTCTCTACTTGTGTGAGGTAAACTTTTTAAGATTCTACACATATAATTATTAATGTGAATATTTAAAATAAATAAGATATCTACACTTGTCTCTCAATATTTCTATATAGATTTGGCAAGGAATTACTCTCTGTTATCTATAATCCAGTTTTTGGATCAGGGAATTATTAATAACTGCTTCCTTTAATAAGAAAAAAAAGTTTTTCAGCACTATGATTTCCCATATTTCAAGAATTTAATTTCAAATAGTATCTAAGCAAAAATACAAGAGAATTTGCTAACAGTAAAAACAATAGAGTTCTTCACACTTTCATTATTGTAACATTAAAATAAATCACAACTCCTATTACTACAAGTACTGCGATTGCTGCAACGACAGTGGATGAGAAACAGTGACCACGCTTGATAACACATCTGTCACTACTAACGCTAATACCCTGTTCACACCACCAAGGGGCAATGTGAAAATAATCTGAGGATGAAAAAAACCTCACTACTCTGAAAAATGAATCGGATTTTGCTAATCCAGGGAATACCTTGTGTTTTCTTTCTTGGTCACATTGAAAAATCATTTCTATAAATATCTCAGGTTAGATTTTTGGTTGGTGGTACTGGAGGTTGAACCCAGGGGTGCTTTACCCCTGAGCTAATTTCCAGCCCGTTTAAAAATTTTATTTTGAGACAGGGTCTTGCTAAGTTGCCTAACTTGCATTCTTCCTGCCTCTGCCTCTCAAGTAGCTAAGTTTAGAGACATGGGCCACCAAACTGGGCTTTCTTAGGTTAGTTTTTTTTATTAATTTTTAAAATTTATATATGACATCAGAATGCATTACAATTCTTATTACACATATAGAGCACAATTTTTCATACCTCTGGTTTTATACATAAGTATATTCACACCAATTCATGTCTTCATACATGTACTTTGGATAATGATGTCCATCACATTCCACCATCATTTCTAACCCCATGCCCCCTCCCCCCTCCCATCCCTCTGCCCTATCTCGAGTTTGTCTATTTCTCCCATGCTCCCTCTCCTTACCCGACTGTGAATCAGCCTTGTTATATCAAAGAAAACATTCAGCATTTGGTTTTTTGGGATTGCCTAACTTCACTTATCATTATCTTCTCTAACTCCATCCATTTACCTGCAAATGCCATGATTTTATTCTCTTTTATTGCTGAGTAATATTCCATTGTGTATATATGCCACATTTTTAAAAATCTATTGACAATAGCTAAACTGTGGAACCAACCTAGGTTAGTTCTTAATGACTAAGAAGTAAAACATATAATTCCAGCAATAGTTCTTGATTTTCTAGACTTACAAAATACCACTTTGGCCACAGTAATAACTGAGAGGCAAGTAAACTTACTAGCTTGCTGAGAGAAGGGAAATGTAATTACATGTTGAATAAGAACCAGCTATATAATAATGTAAAGAAATTTGTCCAAAGCAGAAAAGGTACTTATAGCTACCACTACCTTGTTTACACATTTATCTCTTTTCTTTGGTTACTATGGGGCATGCCCAGTTGTAGAGGGAAAAAAAAATTCTGGTGATTCATATAAAAATATATTAAATAACATTTAAATATATTTAAGCAATACATTTTAATTATTTTCTTCCAATGTCTTTGTAGCCATTTGAAGGATTAATCATAAAATTCCTTCACTCATTATGTTCCTGTCATATAAATAGTAGCCATATTTCTTGTCATAAGATTTGTTGAAAAGTTGTTGTTATCCTGATAATTTGGGACTCAGAAAAATATCTTTCTTTAAAAGAACCAAATTAAAAAAAATAGCAAGCTGCTTTGCCCTTTGAATCTTTAATAATAGCTAACACACTGAGTTTCCAATCTACTAGTAAACCTCAAGTCAAGTTCTAACTGAGTTCATGTGTCATCAGTAGCTTTGTTCTTTGCACCTTGAAGGATCTCTTGGAACTGCTTTTTGTAAGTTGTCTCTAAACATCTGAATCAACTTTTTAACAATATGTAAACCCCTTTGTTATAGTTTAGACCTGGGATGTCCCTGGAGGGATCCTATAGTTGGAGGCTTGGCCCCAAAGGCATCAGTGTTCAGAGATGGGAAATGACTGGATCTAACCTCCTCTGTGGATTAATCCACTTGATAGGTTACTGGTGGATTAATAACCCAGTTGGGAGGTAGAACTTAGTTCAAGGAAGCAGGTGACTGGAGGCCTGTCCTGGAAGGGTTTCTCTTATCCCAGGCTCTTTCCCCCCGTCTCTTGCTTCCCTGCTGTCATGAGCAGAACAGATTTCCTCTGGTGCATCCCTCTACCATGATGCTCTGACTTCAGTTCTTTTCAGGCCTAGAGCAACAGAGCCAGGTGACCATGGAGTGAAACCTTTAAAACCATGAGCCAAAATAAGTTCTAAGTTGTTTCTGTCAAGTAATCTGGCCACAGAGGCAAAAGGCTGATAGCCACTCCCAGGTCATTTGAGGATTTTATCATTATAGGTTCTATCAGGAATAAATCACATTCAATGATTATGATTTATTAACCACAAATACATATGCATTAACCAGAAATATTATTGGGGTAATAATGTGATAATTGTGTTACTAATGAAATTAACCAATCTCTATATAGATCTTTACTAATTACATTATTTTCATGTGCTCACTTTACTTTATCCTCACAATAATTCAAAAAGAATGTTGGTTTTATTATTATTTTTATTTATTCGATGAAGTATTTAATAAGACTGGGTAATTTGTCCTAAGTCATATAGCTA